TAAATATCCTTATTAGAAGTTGCTATTACACAAAGTTCTCTCGATGCATCAAGCTTTTATTGTCCATTTTCACACAACAAACGTTTCTTTTACCTACTTTACTATTAGAAAGAAAATAATTTATACTCACCATATTCTCCTGAAGAAGTTCTTTTTCTTGTAGCCATGAATTAATCAATAAATAAGAAAATTGTGTAGATCTACAAACAGAAAAATGAAATAAAAAAATAATACATTTCGACTTTATTATAGTCACCTACCTATAGCAGATTTTGTTAAAAAAGTTTGGATTATTTTATATTTAGAGTGATTTGTTTTCAAAATATTCTTATTTTATCTAAATCTTTTCTTTTCTATAAAAACAACAACAGAAAGTAAGGTACACCAAACAAGTAATAAGGTACTGGACAAAAGTTTAGCCTTTTTTGTTTTTGATTGTTTTCACCTTCATAGTTAACATTTAAAGAGATTCAATATGTGATATAAGTAGCTGGCAATCTAGGCTACAAGACCCATCTCGAGAACTTTGTGTAATAGCAACTTCTTTTAAGGATATTTATTCTTTACAAAAAAATTCTTTTGTTTTTAGTTTTAGCTGAAAAAGAAGAATCATCGTCAGCAACAACAACCAACCTGAGAAGTGATACAGATACGGTAAGCGTACTTTTTCTTCTTTCATACGGCAACTTGAATCATTATGCCCTAACATCAGATAAAACTAGACAAAAGTTTAGGCTTTTTTTGTTTTCGCCTTTCATAGTTAACATTTAAAGAGATTCAACATGTGATATAACAGGCGGCGCAAAAAGAATTGCACTTTTAGTATTTTCAAAATTTCTCCTCCTTAAACTTGATTGAGCTAGTTTCTTTACGAAAAGATTTCCGGTTGAAGTCTCTACAAAAAATGTATTGACTTTTTTATTACAAAATCCGAAGGTGCAAAATGTCATGAGAAATTGTGAGAAGTACCAAAATGTAGAAAAAATAAACTTATTTTCTCAACGAGAGCGAAATTTTTTCTCAAAGCTTAAATTATTGGTAAAAAATCGTCATTTTTTGAAAACTTGGCAAAAAGTAATGAAATTCTTGCGCCCTCACTTTTAGCTGAAAATTATTTAAATTATAGATGGAAAATAGAGCTTTTCGAGGCGTACACGGTTGCAACTACAACTTTCCTCTCTCACAAACTTTTAGCAGATAATACTAAAAAAACTGTAACCATGTTTATTTTTTCTACATTTTGGTACTTCTCACAATTTCTCATCACATTTTGCACCATGGGATTTTGCAATAAAACAGTCAATACATGTTTTGTAGAGAATTCAACCGGAAATCTTTTGATAAAGAAACTAGCTCAATCAAGTTTAAGGAGGACAAATTTTGAAAATACTAACAGTGTAATTCTTTTTGCGCCACCTGTTAGGTAGCTGGCAATCTAAGCTACAAGATCCATATAAGAAAAACTTTGCTGAGCAGGAACTGGAGTTTCGGTATTTAAAATATTTTTCCCCCAGCGGAAAAAAGTTATTGTGACCTAACATCAGATAAAACTTTCATGATTTAGCCTATTGTTTTTCTATCTCTTTAAAAAGATTGTTTTTCAAGGCGTATTGAGATGATTTAGTCCTTCCTGTTTCATTCCTGAAAGTCGATTGAATGATCTGCTGTTTGTCGCTGGTAATCAAAGTATGATATGAGAAATACATCTACTAGGTCTAATTTTTTCCTGTAAAAGAGCTGTTAATCTTTTTCTTGTTGGTTTGCTTACCAGACAACGCAATTTAAATTTAAATATTTTGATTCAAAAAGAATTGATCCATTCCTATTACAATCATCATCATTCATCCAAGTGGTTCATTTGGTTGAAAGTTTGATTGAAAATAGAAATTTAAACGTTTATTTTGCACATGTGGCAATACCAGAATTAAGACCAGTTAATCTATTTGATAAACAACAATCTTTACAATATTCAGATCAAATTAAAACTTTTCTATGTGGGTTAGTACAAGATCTTCGATATAGTGTTAAAGGTTTACCCGACGCCTACAGTCATTTCCTTGGCAACTATGCTGTTGATTCAACATCCAAGGATGATGTGATTGAATACGATACAACGACAATAAATGGTATAATTAGTTTAGAAAAATCGAACAGAACAACACCAGCAATAATCGCTAAACAAGTTTTTTTGATTTTCGCAAAAACATTACATGAACTTGGCCATGCTAGTATTTATAGGAGTGGACGATTAATGTTGTCAACATCTCTACATGTAAATAAAGCAAATGTATGTTCTCATACACCAGCTACCCATGCTCTGTCTGGTGAAGCCGGGAATGCCGTTGAGAGGTAAACAAACTTTTATTTTTAATGAACGAACAGGCCTTTTCCTCTTGTGTGATACTGACCCTGATTAATTGATATTTTAACCTTCTTCTGATTTTAGATTTTTATTTGGATCAGTCATTGGCACACTTGGTAAAACAAATGGTGATTTATATATTATTAAAGAGATTCTACTACAAGAACAAAAACCAAATGGTGTGATTGACTCATCATGGTTACAGAGATTTATTGCTTTAGATTTAACAAATTTGAATGAAATTCCAAAAATTATTTATATACCGTTAACAAATAAAAAATTGAAAGCAGCAAAATCAAGTCCAAAATGCGCAGAAGCATACAAAAGTGATGGTGACTACGATAGTGAAAATGAAGACGAAGATGATGAACCCTTATTAACAACGACAAACTGAGTAAAAGGAAAAAAAAGAGTGTTGACTTAGTTCAGATTTTTTTTGATATTTTGTATTTAATGTTCAAATTTGTTTTTGTTGTGAAGATACAGTTTAGTAGATTAAGTGCAAGAAAGATTAGTTCAATGATCATTATTATTCTTTATTTTACTTTACAGTACAAAAACAAAGTGTAGCGCTTTCGACCTATCTTTAGGTCATTCTCAATACAAATAAATGAAAAAGATTACTATGTGTACTACATGTTTTATTAACCAAAAATAACAAGTTCGTGAAAGTTAGTCACGAACTTGTTATTTTTGGTTAATATAAAACATGTAGTACACATAGTAATCTTTTTCATTTATTTGTATTAAGAATGACCTAAAGATAGGTCGAAAGCGCTACACTTTGTTTTTGTACTGTAAAGTAAAATAAAGAATAATAATGATTATTAAATTGGTATTTCTTGCACTTAATCTACTTTGTATTTAATATACCTGGTTACTGTTCTTGTTCACTTTTCATTTTGAAAAACAGAGAGAAGCTCAGACTATTTTTAAAAAAATCCTAATAAATATGTTAGCACGACAGATATAAAGATCATCAGCAAAATTGTTCTTTGTCATTTCAAAAAATGAAAAGTTCAAATTGCTTTAACGTGAAGGGTGTCTCAAAATTTGTTCATTAGAGTATGGTGTGAAATTACTTTTTATTTTGTTTCGACGAATTCAACCTGAAACTGTTGGTATTACAGTATTTGAAGAAATAACGTCGTTAAACGTAAACTCTTTATCATTTCTGAAAAGTCTTTTTAGAGCATCGTGCTTCTCTAACCGTCTGCACGATTGCCTAATTGTTTTCCCAACATAAATACCACTTCAATCATTACAGCTGACTCGATGAACTTTGTGTAGTTCGAAATGTCGAATATTAAGTGAAATAAAATGAATAACGAAACTAAGTACTGCTGCTGTTAACGTACTTTTTAGTTTCTCAGAAGTCATTAGAATAGATTTTTTTTGAAAATGCTCCATTTTATTAAACTGTCGTATATAAAATGGGTTCTATTGTATAGCGAACATTTCTGGTGAGAATAAGATGTGTCTCGGCTCTAGATGATATTTCTATATGTTTGTATATTCAGTTTTTCAGCCTCCAAAAAAAACTTTTCAAGTATAATATGGAAACTTGGGTTCTGTCAACTTACACACAAAAGTTTCGGTTTCAGTTTAAGAGCTTTTCGACGCAAAAACAACGAAAAGTTCGAGCCTCAAAAACTTTAATAGGACTAACATTTCCCGAAAGTTTCGTTAAGATCTTAACGGAATAGTTTCTGATATAGATTGAAACACCGTTTCTCTTCAGTGGATATTATTGGATAAGTCGATGAATGGCTTGTGCGAAAGAAGCGAATGATAGAAGGAAGGTGTGATAACTTAACTAATATGAAAATTGTTACATGTCCACTGTATGTCCACTTCTGATTGTGTGGCCTTTCGTTTTAGTAATACTTTTGTGTGTCGCCATGTGAAATTAAAATGACATTTTCAGAGAAAAACAATAGGAGTTTGCAAGACTTTCCAGGAGCCATTGCACATAAGCCACGACAAGTCACGCTCAATGACCAATCTCAGATTTTTTTTCGAAGTAGTCTCATCTTGTAGAGCATGTTCGAAAACCTATAAATCCAAATTTTTAGGCTTCCCGAACTTTTCGTTCTGTAGATATGAAATTTTTTCGACTGGAGTAAAGTTCGAGAAGTTATACGCGTGAAAAACGTACATTTCATTTTTCTTGTGAACGAGAAGAGATGGAACCGTGATTTCTTCAGGATAGGTAGTACTTGATGTCTACTATATAATGACATACAAATATTACGTATACCTCGTACCCCACACATTACAGCAAGACCGAAACGAAGTTTCACGCAGCACTTTTGTGAGTGATTGATCTCGTTATTATGACCTTACGTTGAAGTCGGGCTACTTGTAGTAGATAGTACACTCAGTGTACTATCTGGAATCACCGTCAAAAGATTGCGATACCCAAATTTGTTACAGAAAGTTTCGCGATCAAAGTCGAAGTAAACGGTCGGCGCAAACATTCACTTTGAAGGTTTTCTCTGCCTTAATGAAAAACTATATATTTTTTTCAAAAGAATATCATTGGATAGATAGTGAAATTCCCTACCAATGAACAAGTCCGAATACCTAGACAGCTGGGATCAGTCAAACATATGAAAAAAGAACCGTTTGAGTGTTATATATATAGTACAGTGCATTACAATCATAAGAACTCCTTTGTTTTTGATTTTGTTCGTAAAAGCTGGAACAACTCTCAATACTGTTTCGAAAAGCCCGAAGACTCAGGGATGTCAGAGTTCCTGAAATTCGGATATTCTGCAGAACTCTATAGAATTCTATGTTAGTACACATATACTTTCTATTGACCAAGTTTGATTCAAGCGCAAAAGTATAAAATTCTATAGACTTCTACGTTACTACAGATACACTTTTTATTGACCAAGTTTGATACAAGCGGAAAACTATAGAATTCTATAGAATTCTACGTTAGTACGGATATACTTTTAATTGACCAAGTCTGATACAAGCGGGAATGTATAGAACTCTATAGCATTCTACGTCAGCATAGGTATATTAACTACTGAGCAAGTTTGACACAAGCCGAAATGTCTAGCATTCTATTAAATTCTACGTTAGAACGCATATACTTCTTAGTGACCAAGTCAGACACAAGCGGAAATGTATAGAATTCTATGGAATTCTACGTTAGCGTAGATTTATTTATTATTGACTAAGTTAGATTCCGGGTACGTATAGAATTGTACACAATTCTACGTTTAATACGCATATACATTTTATTGACCAAGTTCGACACAAGCGCATATGTATAGAATTCTGTAAAAAACTACGTGAGTACAGCTGTACTTTTTATTAACCAAGTTTGATACAAGCGGAAACGTATATAATTCCACAGAATTCTACGTTAGTACGCATACACTTCTTAGTGACCAAGTTTGATACAAGCCGAAATGTACAGAATTCTATAGAATTCCACGTTAGTACAGACATAGCTTTTATTGACCAAGTTTGCTACAAGCGGAAATGTATAGAATTCTGTAGAATTCTACGGTAGTGTAGATACATTTATTACCGATCAAGTCTGATACAAGCGGAAATGTCTAGAATTACATTAAATTCTAGGTTAGTACGGATATACTTCTTAGTGACCAAGTTTGATACAAGCGGAAATGTGTAGAATTCGATAGATTCTACGTTAGTACGGATATACTTCTAAGTGACCAAGTTTAGAAATGTATAGAATTCTATAGAGTTCTACCTTAGTACAGGTATTCTTTTCACCGAGCAAGTTTGACACAAGCGGATAAACATATCTATGCTAACTTATTATTCTATAGAATTGTATACATTTCCGCTTGTATCAAACTTGGTCAACAGAAAGTAAATCTGCACTGACTTTGAATTCTGCAGAATTCGATAAACTTCCGCTTGCATCAAAGTTCGTCAGTAAAACGTATATCCGTACTAACGTGGAATTGTGTACAATTCCGGTAGTTTCTACAATTCTATAGAATTCTGTACATTGTTAGTATGTTGAAAATGACCGAATAAACAGGTCGAAATATCCAAATGAAAGGTTTCAAAACAGCCGCATTAATTAATCTATTCTGTACATTCCGCTTGTGACAAACTTCATCAATAATAAATATATCCATGCTAACGTAGATTTCCTCAGAATTCTATGCATTTCCGCTTGTGTCGAACGTGATCAATAATAAATATATCTGTACTACCGTAGCGTTCTATGGTATTCTATACATTTCCGCTTCTATCAAACTTGGGCAACAAAAAGTATATCTGTACTAACGTAGAATTCGGTTGAATTCTATACATTT